GAGAGAACCATACTAAGACCCTTCTCACCTTGTAGACATCAAAGTTATCAATGATTGCATCAAAGCAGGTGTACAAGTCGTTCAGCAAAGCCACCACCTGGGAAAATAAAGAGGGGAAAAAAATTTCTGGGACAGACCAGGGTCTCTTCAACGTGGGTGAACGTGTCACCTTCCCAAGGGAACAGACCAGAGGCACCCAAGGTTTGCGGGATGGTTTCAAGCCAACTTGAGAGGCCAGAGGGGACATTTCACCAGCTCTTCCACCGCCGCCGCCACCCCGCGCTCACCTGCATGGGGGTGCTCTCTGCCGACAAGGCGGTGAAGCCAATGATGTCGCTGAAGTAGATGGTGACGCTGTCGAAGGCCTCCGCCTGCACCGTCTCCCCTCGTTTCAGCTGCTCGGCCACCGAGCTGGGCACAACAACGCCTACCGGTTAATTGGCAGCCCAGTATAAAATCCACCGTTTTACAGATTTAACAGAGTTGGAAGGGACCTTGTAGGTCATCTAACCCAACCCCCCTACACCATTCCTGACCAATGGCAGTCCAGTCTCTTCTTGAAAGCCTCCAGGGAGGAAGCTCCTGCAACTTCTGGTCCATGGGTTGATTGTTCTGCCAGAAAACTCCTCCTTATTTCCAGGTTGAATCTCTCCTTGGTCAGTTTCCATCCATTATTCCTTGTCTGGCCTACAGGCGCTTTAGAAAATAGCTTGACCCCTTCCTCCTCTCTGGGGCAGCCCCTCAAATATTGGAAGATGCTCTCCTGTCTCCCCTGGTCCTTCTCCTCCCTAGACTAGCCAAGCCCAGTTCCTGCAACCGTCCGTCGTATGTTTTATCCTCCAGTCCCCTCATCATCCTGGTTGCTCTTCTCTGCACTCTTTCTAGAGCCTCAATATCCTTTTTTATAGCATGGTGACCAAAATTGGATGCAGTACTCTAGGTGTGGCCTTACTAAGGCTTTACAGAGTGGTATTAGCCCCTCCCTTGATCTCGATTGTATCCCTGCTCACTCCACCTCAAAAAATGAACATTTGTCAAGCTAAACACCTGTCTCACCGCAGAGCTCGGTCACGAAGTGGGAATCCAAGCCTTCCCTGCCCATTCCCAAGGCGATAGCCCCAACCTCTGGCATGCAAAGGTAGACTGCTCCTGTCCAGGAAGGCTCTGTTGAGCGGCGACGGCTATGATCGCAGGGCGAAGGGGACTTACTGAGGTAAAATCTGGTACAGGAGCGCCTCAGCTTTGCGCTTCTCCTCCAGGTAGGCCTGTGTGCGCTCTTCCACCAGTTCTTCTAAATTGTTGGCGTACTGCTCCATCCGCGACAGCAGCGTATCCAAGAGGTTGCAGTTGCTTTCCCTGCCGTCGACAATCAAGAGGCTGAAACCATCCAATCTGCTTCCCCGACCCTTTCCAGCTTTCGTTGGAAAGCCAAACCAAGTTTCTAGTCCTCTCTGACCCAGGTCTGGAAGTTTTATCTCTTTATTTTATTTTATTTATTGAATTTACATTGCCGCCAATTCGCCCATGGCGACTCGAGGTGGCTTACAGAATGTAAAAACATATTCTTTTTTTTTTTTTTAAACCAATACAAACTAACAAAAATCCAATAAATTCTTAAAGTAAAAAACAAAACAAAAAATAACAAAAAAAAGAATCCAATAAATTGATAAAGTCAAAAAGCAATAAAAAGTAACAAAAAAAGAATCCAATAAATTGATAAAGTAAAGAAACAATAAAAAGTAACAAAAAAGAATTCAATAAATTGATAAAGTAAAAAAAACAAAAAAAGTAACAAAAAAGAATCCAATAAATTGATAAAGTAAAAAAAAACAATAAAAAGTAACAAAAAAGAATCCAATAAATTGATAAAGTAAAGAAACAATAAAAACTAACAAAAATAGATTCATAAATACATAGATTCATAAAGTACAAGGCAACAAAATTTGAAAAAATAAATAAATCACCCCCTAACTCCCACTCCCCACCCCCCGCCCCGATGACAGCAGATCCCACGAGCCATTCGATGGGCTAAAGTTGCGCCAACTCTTCCTCTCGCTTCAGATGACATGACTTCATCTTCAAAACCTGCCGGGGGAATCCAGCCCAGCCCAGCCCATCGGTCCCCACCTCCACACCGTGCTCTACCTATTGAACTTCCGCAGCATGCCTTTGATGTGTTGAAAATCCGGGCGCTCCTGTGGGTCCTCGGCCCAGCACCTCTGCATGAGATGGACCACCTCCTCTAAATTGGAGGGCAGATTCGTCGAGGGGCGAAAGGGAGGCTGTTCCCCGCTCGTGACGCGCTTGATAATCTCTGGAAAGGGCCAGAAAATTTGGGGGGGGGAGAAATGGGGGGCGTTAGGAGATGCCTGGGCGGGGCCATGGGGAGGAGAAAAAGGATGCAGGGATATCGCCCCCCCATTTTAGAAAAAAGTTGCACAGGTTTTGCCCACCGTTCCAAAGCAGACGTGGCTTCCCGTGAAAAACGAGGACAGATTACATGGACAGGGTTTCAATTTACCGCAAGAAGCGAGGATAGATTACGGGGACAGATTTTTAAATTTTCCATGAGAAACAAGGACAGATTCCTTGGACAAATTTTAGATTTTCCACAAGAAGTAAAGATAGATTACGTGGACATATTTGCGGGAAACAAGGATAGAAACCAACGAGGCTGGAAACTATACGGACGTATTTTAGATTTCTTGCAAGAAACGAGGATTGAAACAAGGATAAATTATACAGACAGATTTTAGATTTCCTGTGAGAAATGAGGATAAAAACAAGGACAGATGACATAAACAAATTTTAGATTTTCCACAAGAAATGAAGATAGATTATGTGGACAGATTTTAGATTTCTTGCGAGAAACGAGGATCGAAACAAGGATAAATTATATGGACTGATTTTTGATTTCTTGCTGGAAATGAGGATAGAAACCAGGATAAACTATACGGACAGATTTTAGATTTCTTGTGAGAAACGAGGATTGAAACCAGGATAAACTATACGGACAGATTTTAGATTTCTTGCGAGAAAGGATAGACACAAGGATGAATTATACGGACCGATTTTAGATTTCCCGTGAGAAACGACAGAATGATCAAATTGCATCCAAGGAAATGGGGATTTTCTTTTTCCTTCTCACCTTTGGGACTCAGATCAACCCCTTCCACATAGAAGACGCTGCTGCGCAGGGCAATTTCTTGCAAAATGATGCCAAAACTGTAGACGTCTCCTTTTTGAGTACCTGGACAGGTGCTGGTGTCCAACCTCAAGAGCTCGGGAGCTGTCCAGAGTTTCTCTAAAGAAATGGGGAACTGGGATCAGACAGGGGCTAAAGACCCTTCAATCCATCAGTCAAGGAGGAGGATCTCCTGAAGGTAGTCCTCCACTTACGAGAAGTCACTTAGTGACTGTCCGAAGTCACAACGAAAAGTGATTTACAGCCAGTCGGTCCTTGTACGACCATCACAAATTGATCACCCTTGCACCCTCTCCAAGGGCAACTCACTGGCAAAGAGGGCGTGTGAATCGTCCGTCTCGGGCGCCTGGTGGAAGCTCTCCAGCCCGTAATCGGTGATCTTCAGCACAAAACGGCTGTCGACCACGCAGTTGGACGACTTCAGGTTGCCGTGGTAGGCGATCGCGCTGTGGTGCAGGAAAAGCATCCCCTTGAAGCCGAGAGAAGATGGACGGGAGCAAGAGAGGAGAGGAGAGATCATTGGGGGGTTGTTGGGATTCCCCGCTGCATCATCCTGAGCCAAGACTCCGGGTCAACCACAAATCCTAGACGGCGCCTCCTGCCGCTGTGTTCTTGAGGGCAAAGCAAGGTTTGAGGGGTCCTCGGGGCTCTCTGAGGTGGGTGGGTTTTTTTGGCAGACGTTTCGTGACCCAACCAGGTAAGCTTATCAGCGCTAGTGGGGGTTTGCTGCGAATGCTCTTTCTCGCATGATGGAGTTACCAAGTTGGGTCATGAAACGTCTGCAACAAATCCACTAAGCTCAGAGAGCACCAAGGACCCCGCGGTTCAACACCGAGCTACAAATATTCTCCTTTAAATCCAGGTTTATTCCCCAGCAGAGTCCCAGAATCCAACTTTCAAGCTCTCTCTGTCCCTTTTGTAGCTTATGGAGCAACCTTTCCTGGCTGCCATGTTGACTCTTTTGACCGAACATCCTCACTGCAGCTCACAAATGCCCTTATTCCCAAATTCCAACCCCCCTATGGATCAAACTCCTGTCAAAACTGAGGTCCGGCCACTGAAAATATCATTCTTGTCCTATTGGGGCGGGTTTTCTGGAATTCAGCGGGAGTTCAAAGGACAAAAGATGGATTGCAAGACTTTCCGGTCTGAAAAATCTCTTTTTTCATCCTTCGGTTACCTTGACGATGTCGTTGGTAAGCGAATAGCGGAACATCCAGTCCAAGGTGATGCTGTCGTTCTCCAGGATGTCCTAAATGGATGGGGGAGAGAGCAACATGGGTTCACAAGTCATTTCGAAGCAACCCTCTCCTTCCTTTTGACCCGCTACGACCTACGGCCGCTCTGGAATGACCATTCGAAGTTACACCAGGGCTTTTGGGTGGGAAAGATATGACTTTGCTTGGATCTGCCGCAGGAAAATTGAAAGGGCCTCCTTTAAAGGTTCTTTTTTTTCTACAGGGAGGTCCTGGACTTACAATAGTTCATTTCGTTCAAAGTTATAACGGCATATATATATATAAATGTGTGTATGTGTGTGTGTGTGTATGTATGTATGTGTGTGCGTGTATAGATAGATATAGATTAGATTAGATTAGATTAGGTAGGTAGATACATACATACATACAAAGATTAGGTAGATAGATGATAGATTAGATAGATGATAGATTAGGTAGGCAGGTAGATAAGGTAGATGATAGATACATACAAAGATTAAATAGATCGATAGATTGATCGATAGATAGATAGATAGATAGATAGATAGATAGATAGATAGATAGATAAGGTAAATAGATATATACATACATTAG